CTGTTTACCAGTGGTCTAAGACAGTTCTCCAGTTTTGTTGTTTGCTTTGTTGTACAAATTTTTGGCTGATGGCTTAGTTGATCTGACAGAATTTGGAATGGTAATATATGCACTGCTACTTGCAAACTAATTTCATTTAAAACACACATTCCAGGAGAGCTTCTCTCTCTCTCTCTCTCTCTCTCTCTCTCTCTCTCTCTCCCCCCCCACAACAAATCCCCATTATAGGGGTCTCGATGACTAACTTTATTCATGATGTTATTTACACAAAAGTGTATGTACCCACTGAATTTTTATTTGCCCACATGAGAATATAAAAAACAAACAGTTATCTCTTCATCTTGGTGCAACATCCATTTTAGAAACTACTTGCACATTGGGCATTTTAAAGGAGTTATGTGAGGTTAGACATTAAGAGGAAAGAAACTCAGATCCTGGTGTGATATGAGAGTTGGAGAGGGTGGGAGGGAATGATTGATCCATAGAACAGGTTTGCTTGCTTTTGATTTCTTTGATTTTCAACAAATGATTTTCAGTTCAGCTAGATATATTCTTTAGCATTGAATTAGGTTTGTATTTTTTTATGTTAGGAATGGAAGACATGCAGGTTATATTAACATGAGGCAAGTTATTTAAGTCTAAAAACATGTAATGGTAGCCAAGCTGGGCTGATAAAGTTGAATGGGTGGGTTTGGGAATCAGCAAACCTGCAGTCATCTGCTGGTCATGAGCCCATAGCCTTACCACTAAGCCATGCATCAGCTTGAAAATGGACTGAAAAATTCCAAAATACATGTATATACTGAGTCACACAGTTCATGATTTGTTCAGCTTAGAAGCCTTCAGACTTGGTGAATGTTTTAATTAATTGTTATATTTTGACAGTTAAGTGTTGTATACCATATGTACTCACATTCAAGTCCCACTGCAAATTGTACCATGTTGTTTGTATGGAGTAATCAGTAGAACAAACACCATAGATCTTTATATACCAGTACAATATGGGACACCAGATCTGAATCTATGCAGGTTGTCAGGAGTGATCATTAGAATGATCAACAAAGACCCTGATCTACCAATACATTATAGGACAGCAGATCCGGGTATATGTTATTTGTATGTGAGATTTAGATTTTTTACATAGCTTTAACAATTTTTCAGTCATATCTCTACAATGTCTGCAGTGTGACAGTTTATAGTGATGCATTAGGGCATCATGCCGCAGACATATGGCGTGATGTCCCACCCAGTCACATTATCCTGACAACTGGATGACCAGTCCTAACACTAACCTCTTAATGCTGAGCACCAAATCAAAGCAGCTGTTAGTACCATTTGTTTTAAGTCTTTGGTATGACTTTGCAATGGTTTGAACCTGCGACCTCCCTCATCTGAAGCTTATGCTCTAACCAGTAGATAAACGGAGTGGTCCTTATTGTTTGCAGTTGAACATGACTTAATAGAGAGTATATATAAGGTATTTCATTTCATACATTTCTCCATATGAGTCACATATGTATTTTGAATCATCTGTGTTGCAATCAAATATTTTGGCATTCTTGTGAGTTTTCATCTTTATAAATCTTAATGTTATGGCCTTAAAATAATTTATTATTTGTGTGAGCAATTTTATTTGTAATTATAATTTTAGATGTATTTAACTAGAATATAAGCTGCCTGTAGAGCTGTCTTTCAAGCAAAATTGTGTAGTTCCTTCAAGTAATAAGTGTAGACTTTTACATATTTGTCTTTTTTCAATTTGGTTTATTTTCATATTTTTGTGTCTTGTTCATATATTTAAATAAATTTGTCCTAGAACAGTAATTTTCTAATTTTGTCTTCATTTTTAAAATTGCCAATGAACAACACTTATTCATAATAATTTATTTACACGCATACACACACACACACACACACACACATATATATATATATATATATATATATATATATATATATATATATATATATATATATATATATATATATATATATATTTATATATATATATATATTTATATATATATATATATATATATATATATATATATATATATATATATATATATATATATATATATATGGTAAAGTTTCTGTTAAAGCAAAATAATCAGCAAAATTGTGGTATCCTAGGTTACTTTTTAATGGGTAATTTCTTGTTCTGTTGATTTCATTCTTGAAGTAGGGTGTATGCCCAGTGTGCTTCAAATTTATCTTCTGACAATAGAGTTATATTTCACTGCATTAAGCAAAATCAGTGAATGTAGATAGAACATATTAGTGTATAATAACATGGATATTATCAAAAAGGTTAGAAATGTACAATCCAAGTTAGAGGTAAACCAGGACTATGAGAATTGTACCTATTGACCATACTAGCTCTCATGACCCTGTCCCCCCCCAATCATCTAGGCAATGTCTACACAAGGTTCAAGGAATGCTTCACATAGTGGGCTAGTGGAAATTAATGTGTATATACATGCACAGACCATGTGGTGTTCTGTTAAAATTTCTAGGTATACTGGTATTGATGAAATTCTAAATAAAATAAATTTCATCTTGATTTATTTTCAATCATTGCTAAAGTTGTGCTGTTTTTCAAAATAAATGAATAATTGTAAACAGGAAAATTTTACTGGTCACATTTACCGAGATTATTACTAGTAACTCTTAATTGTAAGTCGATGAAGTTAGTATGGCTAATTAATTGACACACCCAAAGTAGTACACAGTGAAAAGTAGGGAAAAGGCTCTTTTGGGTCTTCATTGAAAGTGAAATCATAATGGTTATATATGTTCTCAACTTTATAACTGATGGGAAGGGCATAAGTGTCCATGATAAGTCACATAATTGAACATTTTGGCTTGCTTTTTCAAGTAAGCACTTAAATGAAGTGCAATAGTTGTATTTCCACTTGATATTGACTTTGATATACAATCTTGGGTTATGCAATCTGAGCCAAATTTAATTTACCCTGTGCCCCTTTTATGGAATGGGTCATATTGCTCCAGTATATTATTTTCAGATATGTTATAGATAACGATTACAGAGTCAGATTATGTAGCAAATTGTTTATGTCTAAACGAGGTACTTAACTGATAGGAATCTTTTATTATATTTTCTTTTAAATCAATAAATAAAATTGGATGTAAAACACTTCAGTAATTGGAATTACTTGTATCACATCTAAATTATGTTTATGACACTACATGGCATGAAGATTGTGCTGAGCTATGAATTTTTATTTTTTTTTAAAATTTCAGTCTGCTTCAGAATGGTTATAACAATTTACACACACACACACACACACACACACATGTGTATGTGTGTGTAGAAGTTTCCAATCCTACATTGAAGCGTAATGATGTATTTTTTTTTCTCACAATGCTAAACAGAAAACGATAGCCGTAATAAAAACGACCTATTGTGAATACTGCTGTAACTATCAAACAGCGGAGTGCCCTTTCAAAGTTTGTTTACCCGAAGATATAGGGTAAAATGTTAAGTTTTACTAAAAAAATTTGTGAAAAAATTAAATTACATTTACGCATTTAGTTTTCAAAGAACTGTGGTTGTAATTGACATGGTAATGTTAATACACAGATTCTGAATGTTATACTGTGCAATAACACAAATGTGGTAGCTTGTGCAATAACACGAATATGGTACCTAGTGCAATAACACAAATGGGGATGTGTCAAAAATAAAATTTACTTTTATCAATAAGGTTGATTTAGAAGCAAAAGAATATAGATCTATTTCCTTGATTCAACTTTGATCTTGAATTGATTTACCCTTCAAAGTAAATAATTAGATTATAGTTTGTCTTTGTTTTTTTAAAAAGAACATTAACAATATTGACTCTTTGTCAAGAAATGGACTAAAAAAGACATGCTTGTCGCTAAGTCATCAGGGCAAAACAGTCTGTTTGTGGAACAATTAACTTAAGTCACTGTTTAAGTACATTCATGTGTTAAAATTAATATTTATTATGATTATTATGAAAGAATTTTTAAGTGATGGTTGAAACTGGGAAGTATTTTTGCTACTCTGTGTACACTGTGCTCACAGTAGAAAGTCAACATAGTCCATGAGTCAGGATAAAGTTCACATGTGAGGCAGGACAGAACTGTCCTATACCATGATCCACACCAGTAGTTGTGATTATATACATCTAGGAATGTGAGAAAGATAGATCCATACTTACCAATATGTTGCAGCAAAAAGATGATGATTAGCAACAATAACAAGAATAATAAAAGAATAACATCATGGATTATCACTAAAAGACTTTTTATATCTATTAGGTCTAAATAAAAATGATAACGATCTGAAATCCAATATGGCCACCATAGCGTCCATCTTGAAAATCTCATTACAAGACTGCCGGAGTAGAAAGTCATGTTGACGGGTTTTTCATCAGAGGACATCTTATGATATCCAGTTGGTCTTGTGTGAATAAGGTCACGATCTGAGGTCCAATATGGCCGCCAAAATAGCCATCATGAAAATCTTGTTGTTGATTCTCTGGAAAGGTAAGCTATATATTGGAAATATTGTTATCTGTACTTCTCTCCAGATGGATAGTTATATTAACCTAGGGTATTACCAACATATTTTTATGTTACTTTGTTGGAACCAGTCATAAGTCCGATATGACTGGCACAATCGCAGTCTTGAAAATCTTGCCATTACTTCCCGGAATGGATGATCACTAATACAGGGTTCTCACCAAATCCGATTTCAAAATGGTGTCATTCGTAGACCCAATTTGGTTGCCACGATACCTGTCTTAAAAGTCTTGTTGTGTGTGTGTGTGTGTGTGTGTGTGTGTGTGTGTGTGTGTGTGTGTGTGTGTGATTTATATGTTTAGTTTTAACAATTTTTAGTCATATCGCTACGATGTCTGCATTGTGACAGTTTATAGCACTGGGGCAAATTATATTGACACCAGACCAACTAGTCTTAACATTAGTACTATTTTTAAAAGTCTTTGTTATCACTCGGCCGGGTTTCGAGCCTGTGACCTCCCCCTATCTAAGGTGGACGTTTTACCACTAGACCACCGGAGCGGTTGATCTTTTTGTCAGTATATCTGTAAATGGTTGATCATTATTTCATGAGGTTTACAATAAAAAGACTTCTTTTGTTTTTAGTGAAAATGGTGCAAAGTTGACAACAAGTATGTGCAGCACAGCATCTAATTTGAAAATCTTTTTATCATGAAATCTATCAAAGATGGTTTAAACACTCAATATTTAAAAGGAATAAATGGTCTTACCTTTAATTCCTAGCATTTCGTTTCGCCAGTTGAGCGTCAGTCTCATTGAGAGACTTTGTTTATTAGATGCTTCATCAGCGGCATCAGACTGCTAAAGATAGTCCTGTTTTTCCATACTGCTACCTTCATATAAACATGTGTGACATAAATACGAAACCGTATTATAATTGCTTCTTTGAATCAAAAGTTGATGCTAACCTATTCACATTTGATCCACCCAGGCAGGCTAGTATGGTGTGACCTAAGCAAAACACTCACAGTCCAATCGCCTTGGCACTAAATAACCTACTTTTTGCTGCTGTGCCTTGAAACACCAAACCAGAACTAGCAAATAATGTATCCATAGAGGACCAGCTCATATCCCAATTGTACATTGATCCAAACCCACCCCAAAAATAAGAACTTTCATCTTCCATTTTGAATCCTATTGTTAGAGCTTCAGAGGTCGTTCTGTAGATCAAGTCGGGCAAATCAACATCCCAGTTCCTGAGCGTGCTCATTGAAAGTCTATAAGGACCCCTCCCACCCCACTACTCACGGTGACGATGAAAAGGTAGAACGCAAAATAAAGAGGTTCAACGTAATACCTTTCGCCCTTCCAGAGAAAAGGGTAAGGAAAATATTATATGAGCAAAAAGAAGCATACCATGTGAATTTCAATAATGAACAATCGAAGTAACTTTATTTTATTTTGGAAAAAAATAACCAGTTAATGGAGAAAGAAAATCTATGTACTTTTTATGGGTAGACATTCATCAAGTAGCCCCCTGTCATTGTTCATTATTATTCATTATTTCCTCTATATAATCAAATTTTGAATTATACTTTACTATATTAAAGGCAATGTAAACAAACTGTTTGTGAAAAATACAGGTGACAAACATAGTCTGTGACATTGCATTTGTTTTGGCAATATATATTAGATAGCAAAAATATTGATTCTGAAAATAAAAAGTTTCTAAAATAGACTGTCGTCTTTTGTCTGTCGCTTCTTTCATGGATGCAACTTTAGGGAATGTGGTAAGCTGACTGCCATTTAGGGAATGTGGTAAGCTGACTGCCATCAAACTATCTACCTCTTTTCGACTACAATATGGAATACACCAACAAATTAAGCATAGACAAAACCTATATGAAAATACGTTTGCATTAAATTACAGTGAATCTGCTTTTGTCAGTGATTTGAAAGATAATGATTATGCACTGCGGTTTATAGTTCCTGCTTCTGCGAATGAATATGAATTTTTTGATGAGAGGAAATATAATTAGAACTAATGAGAATTTGGAAAATTGGGAATGTTTTATGGAAACTTCAGCTGTTCATATTCTCACAAGAAGGGTTGAATGTTTTTGTATATTTTCATTAGTTTCAAGGTCACAGAAGAGAAAGAAAATACACAATTTAAATTGTGTAGCGTTTCTGAAAGAAAACATATTATTGCATCATCAGTTACTACCAAAAAAGTAGTACAAAAATATCCAAGGAAGTATAGATGCAAATACTAAACACACATTTAACGTTCGACCAGCAAGTAAGACAAGCATGTAGAAACTATACTTTATGATTATCACCAAAAATATTCATGAAGACTTTCTACTTGAAGAGAAATGAAAATTATTCACTACAAAAGAGAAAAGACAATTAAGCGTATCAAATCAAAGCTGTAGAATCTATCAGTTCAAAAACTGAGATTATGAAAATCAAAACTGAAACGTATGAAAATAGATTGAAAGATATCATCAATAGAAAATATCCAAACTAGAAAGGTTGTATGACCAGAAGAGTTGAAAAGTATCGGCAGTGAACAAACTCAACAGCTGGACAGAAGTAAACCTCAAAACAAATGAAAAACCAATTTAAGATGATGGGAATTTACTATTAGGTGAAAAGTTTAAACAGCTGTTCAAAGAAATTAGGTCTATTGTGACAATAGCTACAGCGATTGCAATGACAACATGTAACTGACACAAATTTGATGAGTGTTGCCCTTTTTATTTCAGTCCTCTATTTCCTCTACCCCAATTACGACCAACCATTCATGGAAATGATCAACGAAGGCTTCAAACATTCACCTAATGAGTTGTCTTTAACCAAATGAACAGAATCGTCGTATTACACGTAATTATTGATAGTGTGATTAACTACTTGCTTTGAAGTTCTGAACAAACTGTTTACTGTGTGAACCCGTTAATAAGTTGACTCCAACTGCAACCAGCACAGACCCAGTTCTGCCGTAGCACAATGCTTCGGCATATCTGAGTCTGTGCAGTTTTCAAGATAATCAGTAGAACAAACAAAATATACCAATCTGCATGCGCATCATGCTTTAGCAGATCAGGATCTTTGATTTTTGTAGTTCAATTTGACTTATAAATAAGTCTTTATGCTAGTTCCTTGCTGAACACGTTGTGTTACTTGTCTTCTCAATGACTGGTTTGTTGCTAGCATATTCGATCCGGGAATGAACAAAGCA